GTTCTAGTAACTGGAATGCTTTGTCACATTCCTCAGTCCACCTAAAATGTGTATCAGCTGTAATGGTGCAGTGATCTTGGAAATGTGGGCTAAAAATGTTGGTAATACAATCAAAAACCAAGAAAGTTGTGGACTTCTCACTTGACTCTGTGACTTGTCTTGACAGTGTCTATAGAAACTCAGTCTCTGCCCACAATATGACTTAGACATTACTCCTGAGTTCACATGATTACACTTTCCTGGTTTGAAACTCAAACCTTTATTTCTTATCTATTGAAGTATCAGGCTTGGATCTTCACCAGCAGAAAACCATGCAGCAAAACACCAAGAAATAAATGACATAGACTGGCATCTGTCCCATTGAAAACCCTTCAGAGCAAACTTCATCAGCATCTCATACATGGTAAGGCATCACAAAGACTAAGTGATATGATGTAAGACTCATCATCCAGTATCAAGATGTCATGTCTCAAGTACTGAGCAACTTGGCACCTTCCAGTGCATTAAAACATTCTTCTGTTCACATTCCCCTTAAGTGAACAAAGAACCTTGGCTTACCCTTTTTCTTGACAACTGATACAGATGATCATGCACTGTGTGAAGGCTTTATAATTCCCTCCTTTAATATGTACTGTATACCTAGTACTCCAGGGAAGCCTGTATGGCAGTTGTTTAATTGTACAAGGTCATCTTTATGTATGTGATGGCAAGTTACATTTGTTTGATCCAATTGATCATCTCATCCTCTAATACATTAGAATTTCCAATAAAAAAATCCCCGATCTTCTGTTGTTGTGTTGAATCCAAATTGTTTGCACAATTATAAATCAGCAACCTCAGGTGTGTTGGTATTCACTCTTGAAAGAGGTGCAACAGAACCAGCCTAAGCAGTAATACTAGTCTTGTTTATCTACAATTTGCTTAACATATCAGTGGGAAGCCAAATATCCAACTGCCCACATTTCAGAACAAAACCAGGAATATATCACCTTTGGGCATTAGCTGCCTGCTTTCTGGAAAAGAAAGAGTGGATTTCATGCACTAACTCTATCAACTCATTACACAGTGACAACACACTAGACCTCATCCACAGTGAAATACCAAACCGTTTGGCAAAAGCTGTTTGTTGCACTCTCCCCAAGTCAATGACGAGAAGTGACTTGGGCTCTGTTGACCCTCCTGCACCTGCTGTATAGTTGGGAAAAATTGGCAGCCTCACCTACCTTGATATATGATACATGTAGCTCACTTTAAAGTAACCTACTTGTCCACACCAAAAGCAAATGCTTAGGTAATACCTTCCATAACGAGATTGGGGGGGGGGGGGCTGTGGTGCAAGTATCATGGGAGGATCAGAATGAGACAGTGTTAAAGTGCTAAATTGTGGTGGCTAGTTTACTCTCATCAAAAGTTGAACTCAGCATGTTGTAATCATTTCAGGAGGGGGATCTGGCCAAATTACAGTACTGGGTTTGCTGAAGTCTTTTTTCCTATCCTGTGAGTTATTCAAAATTATGATTCCAAACTTCATCATCCCAAAAACTACCCCTGTACGGGTGTGAACGTCTCTCACACATAAGGGATCTCATCATCTCACTAAGTAGCTCCTTTGTGAACCTGTCTATCAGGATATCCTTGTGACTTGCCAAAACCATTGCAGGGTATGATTTTCAAAACTCTAGATGGAACCCCCCTTCCAAGCCTTGAAGTTGGACTGATGGATAGCTCTATTCTTCACTGAGTTAAAATGTTAACACAGCTGTTGTTTTTCTCTCACTCAAATATTCAATAAAGTTAAGGGTTGGACCATTCAAACTCAAGATCAAGTATGGCTCCAACTGTTCCCAAGTCCAGCCCTTACAAACAGTGACCTTCTTGAAATACTTCAGGAAGCAATCCAGATCAGCTTTATCTGTACCCTTAATATCAATATTAATATGAGCTTTTCAGTGAAAAGTATGTACTAGTCATGTCAAAGAATATATTTTATTGTCACATTGCTAACAATGTTTCAAAACTGGTCAATCTTTTTAATAAGATTTTTAACTCTAATACATTTATGTATATGAAATAATTTCCTCTTTGCAAACCACTAAGCATTTAATTAGTTAAGTGTTTATCAAGATAACCAAGAAAAAATACATATTCAAAAATATAATTTTTTCATTTATTACAAATACGTATATGAAAAAGAAAGCATTTTAATTTTGTATTCTGTCAAATTTCTTGAAAACTTGTACTTTTCATTTCAAGAAGAAATAATAAAGGCTTACAAAACAAATGTATACAAATCATTCAACCATGAAACTGTTCTTTCATTTAAGTACAATTTAGGAAATAGGTAGAATAACAACAAAGTAAAGAGTACAAATAAAATTCTTACTTTGCACAGTGTCAAGTAAACATCTGCAAAACGATATTCAAACATAACACTGTTTGATATCAATACGACATTTTATAAACAAAAATGGATGAAAAAATTCTAAGGTTTGTGACAATACTAAACAAAATGATTTCATACAGCACCAGTTAAATATTTTCATGAATTGAAGATCTTAAGTATAAATAATATAACAGCAAGATGAAATCATAAGTTTCTAATGAATAAATTTATTAGCTCTCATTGAAACTTCACTATCTCAAGAACTAAATGTCCAATAATATCTAGCCTATTTTATTTATTGGAAAGGGCATAAGTCAAGATGTTGAGAATTATTAAATTTATTCACTTGGATCATATTGATATTTCTGCAAATTAAACAAATAATTCCAATGATAAAAAATTATAATATTTTGTCCTTCATGGGTGTATTCTAATAAAGAATTAAATAACACTTAAATGGATGAAAATAAACACTGTTAGCACTTTTGTCATTCAAAAACAAAATCCTTTGAAAACTAGAAAGACACCCAAGAGTTCAAAACACATCTTGCAATATTTTTTACTTTTACAGCAACCAACCTAAAATATACAACAAAGAATTCCTCACCTTCAAAAAATGTAGGTGTATGTGCCAAGATCCTCCTATATCAATTTGTTCGTGAGTTTTTTTGGAGGGGGGGTGAAAATTCTAATTTGCTACTATTATGACAAAAGTGGTTGATGTTCATTGTTACCTTGACCTTTCTGCTGTATCCACTGAAATAAATTGATCCTTGATGGGGGGACTGGCCTTCAACTTATATATGAAATTAAATCACCATCAGATATAAACTTAAAGTTATTTGGTTGAGTTCAGTGTAACTTTATATGACCTTTGAGCTATATTTACCACAACTTAATCAACTGATCCATGCAGGATACTTAACCCTTGTATAAAATTTGATTAATCAAAATCAAATGAAAACACTTTGAGTTAACAATAACCCCCCACCACTGAGGGGTGGGGGTGAAACTTTGAAAATCAAAAGCAAGGTAAAATTATGAGTTTTAGATAGAACATTTTTCTGATAACTTCAGTACAAAAAAAAAACTATTTTGTATTACTATATTTGAAAAGATCCACTGCCAACACTTGAGCAGCTCTTATCGATTAGTGGATTTCAACCATTACTCTTATAATGCTCTCATGGCCCCAAGGTATTGAGCATGATTTTATGTTAATGGAATGCAAACCATGAACCCTTGGGATTCACATACTTGGATGTTAGCCACTACACCACACCCAGCCTTTATTTTCAAGGCAATTTGTCAAAAAACAAATTATGAACAATTAGGAATCTTATTCTAAATGTGCAGTAATACTTTAATATCTTATTCTAAATGTGCAGTAATACTTTAATATCTTATTCTACATGTGCAGTAATACCTTAAGCACACATTTGAAAAGGTACCCTGGATCTGTATTTTTTTACTTAATTACACTGACAAGTAGTAACTGAGTAGCTTTCTCTTTTAAATCTAACATACAATAATTTAATAAATGCCTTTATCTACTAATAACCATTTAATTCTCTCTAACACACTTGGACAGCGTTTCCCAAACTATTGGTCGTGACCCACTGGTGGGTCGCAAGCAGAATGTTA